GGCCCGGAGCGGTGACCCAGGTGCGGGCAGAGGGGCGGAGGCGTCGGCGGCGGAGCCCCCGGGCGCCTGGAGGTGGAAAGGTGCCCGGGATCAGGAGCCCCCTGGAACTCTGGGGGGAGGGAACCCCACGGCCCTCCAACTCTTCCTTCAGACCTCAGAGGGAAAGGAGAAGGGTCCGAGAGGCGCTGGCATTTTGGGGCACAGCCAGAAGCCGAGTGTGAGGACGCAACCCGGAGCCGGCGACCTTTACTACTGGCCGAGGAGAGCCGGGAAACACCAGGGCTCCCACCGCGACCCTCCACCCGACACGGCCAGTGGCCCATCTGGGCGCGAAGGGCGGATGATCGCGCCCCCCGGCAGGGCGCTGGCCCAGAATGCGTCCTCAGACGAAGGGGTCCACGAACGCGGGGACCCCCGCCGGGGAAACAGCACGAGCCGGCGCCTGCGACTGAAGAACCCCTTCTACCCGCTGACCCAGGAGTCGTACGGAGCCTACGCGGTCATGTGTCTGTCGGTGGTGATCTTTGGAACCGGCATTATTGGCAACCTGGCGGTGATGTGCATCGTGTGTCACAACTACTACATGCGGAGCATCTCCAACTCCCTCTTGGCCAACCTGGCCTTCTGGGACTTTCTTATCATCTTCTTCTGCCTTCCACTCGTCATCTTTCACGAGCTGACCAAGAAGTGGCTGCTGGAAGACTTCTCCTGCAAGATCGTGCCCTACATCGAGGTAATGCCTTCCAGGGGGTCTCGAGCTACTACTGGCTTTGCCCATTTCTGGATTTTATAGCATCAGAACTGCCGCTCCAGGTACCTACCTGGCTGTTGTACCCCTTTGAACCCCTTCGCTTTTTCTCTGAGCCCCTCCTTCCTCTCTCTTGCCAATTACCTACCTATCTACCTACCTACCTATCTACCTGTCTGTCTTCTATCATCTATCGAGAGCGGTAGCTTTGTTCACTCACCTTCAAACTCATCTGCTCCCAGATTGTGCAATAATTATGATCTCATAATGCGTAGAATTATTTAGATTTTAATTTATCTCTCTGGATATAGTGTCACATATATTTCGGATTTGGCACCTAGCAGAGATTCTAGAGTTAATAAATGGCCAGTGCATGGTTGTCATGATCAGAACCCAGCAAGGAAAAAACCTGTATCGTTTGTCTACTAGATTTCCAGGCTCCAACATGATTTTCCCCCCAAGAAGATTATTGCGTTTTCTCTCAAATATCAAAATATTTGGAGTAATATTTTATTTAACAAAGGAAATCTGCCTTTCTTTGTTTGTCGGTTGGCCTCATGATATATTAATAACCTCCTAAATTAGTTTAAGTGTCTTTGGCTATCTGCCATGATGTCCCATCTAAATTCTCATGTCATTTCTTGTTTCTTTCTGTTTCCTTCTCGATTTCTCATCAGTTTTATTTATTTTGTATGAATGAGCTTAAGTAAAAATAACACTTTGGTCATCATGGAACAGAATTTATTTCATATTCTCAAAGTATATCATATATGTTTGCCATTTGTGAGGGTATAAAGGATTGGCTATTTTAAGGGATTTCTAAGGCTAGAAAATTTCTTAAGAAGAGAGGCTTATAATAGGTTGTAAACTTTGGAAACAACAATCTTTCTGCATAAAATTTGACTGTTTCATCCTACAGCTAGTGTCCTGCACTATTATTATGGCAGTTGGAATTTGCTCTTTAAATGGCCTCTCTTTAAACACCAGCTCTTGGAAGGAGCCCAAGTGCTTTGTTGCCAGTTGTGTTTTTAGCCAGCTGGCCCTTGATTTTCTCCATTCATACTGCTCGTTTCATTTATGGAAGCAGAAGAAGGGAAACTGTAAATATTCCAGAGCCCCTGATCCTGTCTGGCACCAGGGCCAGTGACACCATGTTCAACATTGCTCCAGGGCCTAAAGCTAGGGGATAAGTAAACAGAAACAGTACCTATTTAGAAGGGCCAAGGCAAGAGACAGTAAATAAGACCCTCTGCTATCCTGGCAGGGATCAGATGCAGAATCATTCCATGCTTGCTAAATCAGCTGTTGTTACTTTACCAGGATCTAGGATTTCTCTTGTTGCCAAGCTCCAAGTAGCTCTGAAATATCTAATTTAGTTGGTAGACAATTCAATTTTGAATTGCAGAGGAGGTAGTTGAATTTATGTTAGAGAATATCTGTCTTCCAATTGCCTTTTCAAGGTCAATTTCAATTTAAAATTTCTTTTTTGTTTGAATAATGCAGAAGAAATTGACATATCTAAAGAAGAGACAAAAGTAAACTATGAAGTGAACAGAGAGTTACCCCAATAAGAGAGGCATGTATTGAGTTGTCTTAAGTGTGTCGGACATGTTTATCATTAGAGGAAAAAACAATAAAGAAGACAGAAAAAATGATACTGGGGAAAGAAAAAAAACTTACCAAAGTTCTTGAAAAAACTTTCAAAGAAAAGAATCCCATCCAAATTCAGGAAAAAAATATAAAAATTTTGGTGAGTTTAATTAGACCTATGAGTTGTGAGTGATGGTATTTATTATGTAAGGGTTTTAATTTTTGTTTTAATTCTAAGAAGTTTTAAAAAATGTATATTGTGCTTTCATTTGTATTTCATCTTCCAATTTAATGATCTGCTCCTTAAGAATATTTTGTTTTTACCTCTTCTCTTATGGTTATAAGATCATGGTGATATTTTGCTCTCTGTATTTTTTTCCCTTCTTTGTAGACCTACTTTGTTTTTAAATTTATTGGTACCAGGCTTTGTTTTCCCTAGAGAAGCAAAGGTTTGGGAAAAAAGATTCACTCATTTTTTTTCTTGAAAAATTAGACTATAATTTATGTTTTGACTGTTAAACTAATGAATGAAAGTTTTCATCTTTAATCTAAAATGTAGAATATGTTTCTACATTCCTACCTTAATCTTATTCTTCTGAAATAATTTACTTTATTTTTATTTTTAAATTTTTAAAATACATCATTATTAATTTTAGAGAGAGGAAAGGAGAAGGAGAGAGAGAGAGAGAAACATCAATGATGAGCGTGTCATTGATCAGCTGCCTCCTGCACGCCCCCTACTGGGGATTGAACCCTCAGCCCCGGCATGTGCCCTGACTGGGAATCCAACCGCAACCTCCTGGATCATAGGTTGATGCTCAACTGCTGAGCCATGCCCACTGAGCTGAAATAATTTTATAATGTTTTATCATGCTTTATGAAAATAACTAGTGGACAGTACTAACAGCTTCATAATTCCTGAGTATGACCATAGGAAGTATAGTCCAAATCTCAAAATAAAGCATTTCTGCCTCCAGGAAGCACTGTTATTTTCACAGAAATCACAGGTTTATTTATTGGCTGTTCTATGTCAGGTTCCCCCCCAAACAGGCCCTAATGTGGAGATTTGCTTGCAGGAAGTTTATTGGGGTATGCACTCAGGTTCAACACCTAGTAGGGAATGAAGCATGCAGGACTGGGCAGAAGGAGAAGGTGAACTGTGATGCAGATGCCACAGAGACCTCAGCTGGCACCACAGGGAGCTCTAGGGCTGGGGTGGCCCTGCAAAGATATTCTGAATTGAGGCATGAGGGACCACACTTTATACCCCCTAATGGACCAGTCATTGGATGCAGGTGGCTTGAGCTGAGTGGATCTCTTTGGTCAAGGGCAGTTTCTAGAGAGGGGTGCAGTTAAAAGCCATCCACCACCAATAGTAGCAGTGGTTGGGAGAATCAGCCCTTCATTTCTGAAAGGACTTTTGTGGGGTGGCAATCTGGGTGGGGAACCACAGTCTCCACTACAGTAGCTTTTGAATTATCATGTTAAATTAGAATCGGAGGCTTTGAATCCAACCACTTGATGTTGATGTTTACTTATTAGACAAACATCTATAAGGCAAAAGGGGTTCATTTAGTATATTCTTTTTACTTCTGTTCCTTGGCATCTTTAAAAAATATCTCTATGTCCAATGGACAGGAATAAAATAAGCATAAATTGGTATATGAAGGTGCATATATCTTTTCAAATTGGTGCTTTTGTTTTCTTTAGATAATTTCCCAGAAGTGAAATTGCTAGATTATATGGTAGTTCTATTTTGAAATTTTTGAGGAACCTCCACACTGTTTTCCATAGTAACCATAATTCATTTTTATTGATCTTTACAGATCTTCTCTTTTGCCTTCTTTTCCTTTCTTATCACAGTTCTTTTTTTTCCTACAACCTAAGTATTAGCATAATATTAAGGAAGTAGTGAAATTCTGGGGAGAGTTGTGTTTGTATAGAAAAATAGTAGACATTTCTTCAACAGAAATTATAGATCTTTGCAATGTGCATTCAACTCTTCTTTTTATTTCACTTTGTTGACATAAGGTTTGAGGAGAGCACCAGCTTCCAGGATCTATCAGTAGAAAGGGAATTTTATCATATTTAATATTGCTTTGAGTGGAAATATACTGGGAGGGAAATGTAGTTGATAACTTCTTCCTTTATTTTTTTGTTAATCCTAGAGGATATTTTTTCCATTAATTTTTTTAGAGAGAGTGGAAGGGAGGCAGGAGGTGGGGGGCGGGGAGAGAGAGAGAGAGAGAGAGAGAGAGAAACATTGATGTGAGAGAGAGACATTGATTGGTTGCCTCCTGCATGCGCCCCAGCTGGGGCCAGGGATTGAACTGCAACCCAGGTTCATGCCCTTTGGTGCGTGGGCCAACTCTCTAACTACTGAGCATGCTGGCCAGGGCTACCTTTTCCCTCTTTATTCCAGGATTATGACTCCTTTGTGGCCTGGTGATAAGTCCCATAAGGACCAAAGGCAGATGGAGTGGTATGAAAGGGAGAGAAGAGAATCTGTGTGGATGGTAGCCATCCTAACATATACATTATTTTAAACTGGTTTCTGAGATAGTCATCAAACAAAAACTATACTCACAGCAAGAGTTGTATGTGGGGAGAGAGAGAGAGAGGGATATATATATATATATATATATATATATATATATATATATATGTGAAAGTTTCCTATCACACCGTCTAACAAATGGTTAAAGCCAAACATATTTTTATATATATAAATGTGATCAAACTCTAGATATAGATAGATATAGAGTTTGATTATATTTATAGATACATATCTATATCTATATAATCTATATATCTATACCTATATAATCTATATCTATATCTATCATCTATATATATCTAATCATCTATATCTATATCTCTATATCATCTATATCTATATCATCATCTCTATCTCTATATCTCTATCCATCTCTGTCTCTGTCTCTATCTCTATCTATTTCTATCTCTCTATCATCTATGTATATGTCTATCTATATCTATATCTATATATCATCTATCTCTATCTCTATCTCTATCTCTATCTCTATCTATCTATCTCTATCTCTACCTATCTCTATCTCTATCTCTATCCATCTCTATCTCTATCTCTATCTCTATCTCTATCTCTATCTATCTCTATCTCTATCTCTATCTATCTATATCATCACCTATAATCTATATCATCTATCTATCATCTATATCACCTATATATCTGTATGTCATCTATATCTATATATGTCATCATCTATCTATCCATGTATCTCTCTCTCTAGAGAGAGAGAGAGGTAGAGAGAGAGATGGAATGGAGGTCTGGGTGAGGATTACAGTAGAAGAACGGCAGAAGAGTTTCCTATCACACCATCTAACAAATGGTTAAAGCCAAACATTCAGGCATT